GCTCTCTTACCTATGTTAAGTGCTTTCTGGGAAGCATTTTGCCTGAGTAAGGTGTGGCAGCTGCTTTGATGTGAGTAAACTCAGAAACTGACTCCCCTATAAAATTTTCACTTTAGGCTGAGTTCTGTTGGTTACATGAGAAATTGACCAGCGGGAGGACCCTGGGAACTTCTTGGACCTTGTCTCCTCTGAGGGTTCCCAGGTTGAAACCAAAATTGAGAAAGAATCTCATCCTTTAGCCCCTTCCGTTTCTACCTCATTTTATACATTCTCTGTCTGAATGCATTTTTGTCCTTTCCACGTTCACGTTAATATTTAGAAGGACTCCTTTGTAGCTCCCCTGGACTGCCACGCCTCTACCCTTCTACCGAGAATCTGGCACTGAGGCTGATGGAGACCATGACACCCTCCTGGTTTCCATGGAGACCCTACTCAAAGCCCTACAGACTCCCAGGGCTGATGGAAAGCTGAGCATTTGTATTTAAAGGAGGGAAAGTGGGGGAAGGGATAGTAAAAGAAGAGGGAAGGAAAACGCAGTAGGGATGGTGGTGGTGGTGAGTGTGGATTTTCAAGGACTCAAACGGGGGAATCGAAAAATCCCAGGACGCAGCCACTTCATGCTCTCAGGAGAAATCAAAAGGAAGGCAGCAGGAGGCAAAGAGATGCTTATTTCATGCTAAGAAGTATCTTCTATAGACTCATTTCTGATTTCAGTTGTAAGGGACAGAATAACGCAGGCAACTGGGACCCCACCCTTTCCTTGTGGGGGGAGAGAGGGGAACTCCCAGCTGATAACACAGCTCATTTTTATTTCTAGGAAGCAGGAGAGACTTTTCCTCCTCGGCCCCAGGCTCAAGTCTTGTAGGTTCACTGCTGGTGTAGGAGGGGCCCCAGCTCTATCTGTCACTCTCCTCCTTTCTCCCTACAGTGTCACTAAAGAAAGCTTTGGGCTCTGGATTACCTGCTATTTATTGGCTGAATCCCTGGCAAAAGGTTGAGGGAGGAGGAGGAGGAGATGGTGGCTGGGCAGAATCTATGCTAAGATTGAATTGCACAAGGGTTCAGATGATGTCAGCTTTAATAAAGGTCTGACCTAGTGAATGTTAAATGTGGCTGAGTGATGAATCCTCAGAGGAGATCGATGGCAGAAACCTCTATGAAAGGGACTATGCCGCTTCGTTAAAATATTAAGCAGGTGGCTCTGCTGATCTCTGGCTGCAACTCCCAGAGCGCTGGTGGAATCTCAGCTTTCTGCTATAATCACTTGAACATTACTTACTGCCCTAGATAACTGTAGGTCACGTGGAGTTTGCTCCAAAAAAGGAAGTTTTTGAAAAAAGAAAAAGCCATTATAAGCCATCAGAGTGCCTGCCAGTCTTACAAAGAGGAACCGATTCAATTTAATAAACACTTTCTGAGGTCTACTATGAGCCAAGTGTGTGCAAAATGAGTGAAAATGTCTTTGCCTTCAAGGCGCATATGCTCTGACTGGGAAGGCAGATACACTCACAAATGACCAATAGGGACAAACAATAGGTAATAAATACCATGGGAAATCCAAGAAAGGTGAAATTAATTAAAATATAGGAAAGAAAAGACTAGTTTATATTAGATGATTCTGGGGTCTTCCTTTTATGATAGGTACACAACAGAGAAGTATAAGGAAAACTTCTGTAGGGATAGAATCAAAAAAGAAGTTTTACAAATTGCTTGACATAAAATGCCAATTCTGTAAAATTGTCTGTCAAGTGACATAGTGAACTGGTTTTTCCATTTTTTTTCTCTCTGATGAGTTATTTCTATTGCTGAAATTTATAAGGGACCTTGTATTGGTCTAAGCTTTGCTTGGCCTCTATTCCATTTTTACCACTCACTAAACCACAATATTTTTGTATTAGAGGTTCAAGGTTTAATGGTTTCATTTTAAAATAGACCCAGAGGCTAAAATTGAGAGAAAGGATGCTTGAAAAAGCATGTGGGTTTAGGCTGAGTAAGAACTATATGAGCATGAAGGGAATTGCGAAACTTGTCTAGTTGAGACGGGACTGAGATGCAACAGGTGTTGCTGATAGTCAGAGCTCCTTTTCAGAGTCCTGGCACATAGCAAGAAAGAGGTAAGTGACAGCCTCACCAATGCTGGGGAATTTTTTGAAATACCTATCACTTCGGGCCTGAGTTTAGTGCATAAGGGACAGCCATGAACCTTCTAACTTTCATTCCAAAATTAGGGAAAAATCAGGAATAAATTAAAGGGCAAAGAAGCCAAAGGCTAATTTTTGGCTTTAGGCCTTTGGATGGAAGGTATCAAGAAGTATAGAATGAAAAAAAGGGAGAGAGAAAGAAAGCCATATGCGCTCAAACTACTTCACATAGTTTCTGTGTCCTTGAGATATTGTTTACTAAGGGCTGGTTCTCTAGGTCTTACTCTCAGTTGGTTAAGGAACATATCTATCATAAGAACATCTCACTGGAGTTTTGGCAATATCATAGAATATTAACAATTTTTAGATGAAAAACTATAACAGCACTGAATGCCAAGAATCTTATTTTCATTCTTATTAGTTTTTCATTCTCAGTCACATGGTTTACCACAGAATCTTGGGCTCCCAGTTCACTCTAAGGCCATTCTGACAACCTTCTGGATAAGTGAATAAAAATTTCTGGCTTCTTAAGTTCAAATAAACACCCACAGACACATGGGCACCTCATTCATCCAAATACAGTCAAATGTACTTCTATAATTTTTAGTAGTTGTCAATATGGTATGACAGTTTCCAGAAATGAGCTTGGTAATTTAGGGAGTGCCCAATTGACACCTCTAATAGTTGGACACAGAGGCAGTGGAGGCAAAAATAAAACCATAAAGGAGAAAATGAGGCACACATAATAGAAAAATGAAGAGGATAAAAAGGAAGTGGAAAAACAAGAGATTAAGGGGAAAACTAAATAGAACAGATGTCTTAAGCACTTAATGAATAGGTTAGGATCTTCCAGTTTAATCTCATCTTTATTTAAAGAGCTGGAGATGTTCTGGTGATTATCCAGTCTATTTTTCTGTTTTACTGATGAGAAAACAGGGGTCAGGAGGAGATGAGTGACTTGTCTTATATCAGAGTTGATTGGAGATGAAGTCGATGTTAGCACCTATGCTTCCTATCTCTGGGTCCAGTGTTAGTTCTATTACATCGTTTCTTACAATTGTGAAATCTATCTGAATCCAAAATTCCTTTGAAATTTAAATACTTTCCCATATTTTCTTGAACTGCTAACAACCTGTTTCACATTTATATTTTTGCTTTACAGCTTGCAAAGTGCTTTATCTTATTTAACCTTTGCACCAATTCTATGAGAAGTAAATAGCAGCTATAAAACGGCCCACATGGGATTTATCAAATTTTGATTTATGATATATTTTTCTCTCAAATACTTTCCCAGCTCTTATTTGTGGAGTACTGTGGTAAAGTAAAAATAAATAGGCCATATTATTCCTACTCTTCTCTACCCTATCACCAAGGAACTCACTGTGCTTAAAGGAAATGAAGCCTAGAAATAGGAGGACAGTCAGCCTGATGATAAAGATGGACAAGAAGGAAGTAATGATGTGGACAGGAAAAAAAAAATGTACAGAAGTTGATGCTATGGATGATAGCAGCTAAATCTTCTGATGTTCTAGACATGTATGATGGGGAAGCACTACCTCGAGCTGCTTCTATAATGGTGATACAAAGAAAGTTCTCTTTGAAACTGATGTATTCAGTTCCCAGAAAGAGACCAAGGACTAATGTTGGGGAATAGGAGCACCTCCTCCCCACCATGAACTGCACTCTCTGAGGCCCAGCCACCCAAGGCAGGATGGTTTCAATCACTCCTGCCATCTAGTCATCGCTGACACTACTTGGCAGCCAGCCTGCCTCTAATGGAATGTGTCCTGCAGCTGGGAATTAGGTCATCAGTAATTCACTTAATAGCATTTTATGGGCTGGGCTCTGACACAAGAGAGTGATCTGGTCTTACCAGCAGGAGCTTTCCTTGATGTGAGAGGAAGGAGGGAGGAAAATATACCATCCTGAATAATCAGACACTATATTCATTTCCAGAAAGCAATGGGTGAGGGTAAGAAAACGAGTGTTTTCTTCAGACTTTCTATTTGATCAGACCAGCTACACGATCTTGGGCAAGTTACCTCTCATTTCCAGATGTCAGTTCCCCTAAGATTTCATCCGGCTCTAATATTGTATACTTTTGACTCTGGGGCACTCGTCATGGAAGTTAGAAAATGCAGAATTTGTCAAGTCGCCCCTTTTCCCCTACCTCCCTGATGGGATTCTCTGGAAAGGAAGATGGATGACCCTACTCTCTGCCATGAGCATGCTGCAAAAAGGAAAGCTCTGATTTGTAGAATTTGCTGATTTTTGTGGTGTATTCCCAACATAGCTGATTCCAAGCTATCAATGATTTAACAAAATTTAGCAGAATTTCTGAAAATCCTACAGTTGGCTCTCATGAGCTGATATGAGCACTCCAGCACAACACTGGTGTTCCCCCCAGCTAGAAAGAGCTGCCTCAGTGTATAGCCTCTCATGCGTAGACACAGTTGGATTGTCCACACACCACACATGAAGTATATATGTCCTTGCTTTGGTTTTGGATAAAAAAATATTCACTCACAACTTCTCTTTGATTCTATTCTAGCTGCTATTCTTAATCTATTGAAGTCCTCTCAGAAATATGTAGAGAATTCTTATTAGAAAAATATCCATACTTATACTCTCATTTCTTCTACCACATGTTCAGGGAGCCATTTTTTTTTTTTTTTTTTTTTATGTTTTCTTGACCTCTAAGTACCTTATATCCTTCTTGTTGAGAAACCCATTGTATCTTATGAATTGTTCAAAAGTTTCACTGCTATACAGGGGTTAGAAGTTGAAAAAAAAATCTGTAGAGTCTTTCTTCCTTTTCAGTTCATGCTGGGAAAGGGCCCTAAAATAAAAAGAATTTTATTGCACAAAATCTCCCAGTTCTGAGAAAATTCAGGTGACTTGAGCTGAAAACAGCACCTGGAATGGTAATGGATAAAATGATGAGTCACTTTCTTTTATCTCTTCAATTGAATAGAGTTTAGATAATATTCAATTAACAACTATCTTCAGAGCATTTACTACATGAACTCAGCACTGCAAAGTATCATAAAATAAAAGAGAAAGTATAAGCTATGATACCAGCCTTCAGTTTATACTCTGGTTGGGGAGATAAGAATAACATGCACAAATTAATGAAAATCAATTAAAAACATTTTATAATCAAGTGTTTAATGATGTGGCACAAATTATAAATGTAGCAGGAATATAGAGAAAAGTAAAATTACTCAAAGCAAACATTATCCAAGAAAATTTAATGACTGGCAATGGGGCTTCAGCTGATCTTGAGGTGACAGTAAGTGTTTAACATCAGTTTAAGGTACAGGACTATCTAGATTGGGGGTATTGCATTTAAAAGGCTGGTGGCAAAAAATGGGAAGTTGGTAGAAAAAGGAGGCGGTGGAATATGGAGAAAAAAGTGAAATCCCTGGCCTAAACTGGGTCATAGAGTATGTGTCAGGGAGAGAGAGGTGATTGTATACAAATGATACACTTATACAAATGATCACATGTAATAATACATTTCTGATCTGCAGCCTCTGCAGCAACCAGTGTAGGAAGCCAGACCTCAGTTAGTCTCCGTGGCAGTCATTCCAGAAGATTCAGGACATGGTCAGTGACTGCCAACATTCCTGATTTTTGTCCATCCACTACTTCCAATTCAGGACCAACAAGAGAGAAAGCCAAATAGACTCCCCAGACCAGTCACTCAGGATGCCCCACATCTAGTTAGTCCACCTCCTGCTCTTCTATATTAACAGCCTCTAATCAGAACAGGCCTGAAGTCCTTCCCTTTTGTCACTATAAAGCTTTCACACTCCCTTGCCTGCCTTTGAGTCTCTGCCAAATGTAAGTGATGGTGGCTAAATCCCTTGTTATGTAGCATGGTCTGAATAAGTAACCTATTTCTTCTCATTTGTATTGTCTTTGTTTATTCCCACAGTGGGAAAAGAGCACACTATAATTATTCTGTCTATCTCCTATTATTACATGGGGATATATAATCATAGATAGATAAATAGATATAAGATTGTGTATAGGTATCTATATACCTATATATATATGTATATATATATATGTATATATATATACAGATATATACAGATATATACTCTGGTTGGGGAGATAAGATATATATATATATATATCTCCCTACTGCCTTTCCTTCTTCCCTCCTGATATCTACACTTTGATAGGCTCTCTTACCAATTTTCTTAGAATGCCCATAAAAAATGCCAACATATTGAGGTGTTTGGGGTATACTGAAGAAATTCATTTCCTTTGGATCCTAAAGTAAGCACTGAATGCCTCAATCCTATCCTGACTTTTGAATCTGGCTACTTTTTTCAACAAAAGGCCCTTTTGTTATTAGTCTTTTAATAATATGAACTGTGTTATAAAAGATTTAGTCTAATAAAAATTAATGTTTTTTTCTAGTATATTTTAACACATCTAAAATGATTGCTCGGTGTTTTTGATCAACACAAGATAATAAGTACTGCTGTCATGCTACCTGATAAATTTCTGGTCCAGTCAGAGAACCTAAGTGTTTTCAATAGTCACTGCAACATGATTTCTGATAAATATACTGATTCTATTAGGGGGCTTTCTGAAATTCTGAAAATAATTCATCAGCTCCCATCTCCATTCCTACTTGGAAGATTTATTATGATTCTGGGAGTCCAAAGTTGGGAACAACCCTTTAATGATAGTATAACAATTGTGTAATAGCCTTATTAATTCCTGGAAGCCCATCTCTTGACACCATGTTCCAGAACCCTAAGGCAAATTACTTTCTGGGTTTTACAGGTAGAATTTGATTATCCTGGATATTTAAAGGAATTTGACACCTCTACATATTTACCTTACTGGACTGGAATTTGAGATGTAGCTAGCATGAATTTTTCTGGTGTAATATCCTCTTTTTCTCCACCATGTGAACAAGAAGCTAGAAGGAATGAAGTGGGCAGCAAGATTTAGTCTGGCTGTGCTAAAACTCCCTGTGCTTTTGCTTTCCATGTAAATCTTGAGTCTGAATCTCAGGTTCATAGACTTAGACACTCAGTTTTCTAGCTCATCCTTGAACAGTTATGCTTTGGTAAATTCCTGCACTCTAATGATACCAACAAGAAGTCTGTAAGTCACTCTTGGGAAGGGGAGAGATTCCTTTAGGAAATGTCTCTTGTTAGTGATGACTCTCTTCCATAGCATATGTGATCTTGTTAGATGTAATCAGAGAGGCTGGGCCTTCCTTGCCTAGGGATCTTGTGTTCTTCCTGAACTTTGCTTAATAATCTCTTGTCATAAGTCTGGGGGATGTATTTTGGGTCATGTATTCGGTTAAGATGACCCAGGGTGTTGTAACAAACATACCCAGATTGTATCCTGGCTCCATACAGCAAAAGCTATTTCTTTTTCATTCAACAGTCCAAAATCAGTGTTTCTTGTCAGTACCTGGCTTTCTCTGTGTGTTAATTCAGAAACCAAGACTTCTTCCATATCATGGCTCTGCCATCCCCCAGGACTTTGCCATCCTCCACTGGCTGAATCCAAATGGGAAAGAGTGTGGAGAAAGCACACCTGCTTCCTATAATGCTTTGGCTCTGAATTGACACATGTCCCTTCCATTCATATTCTGTTTGTGAAAACGAATGCAAGAGAGACAAAGATATGTAATCTGTTTATAGGCCAAAGACAAGAAGAAAATGAAAATTTGGTGAACAGTTAGCTATCTCTCCCTTAGGTATTTGTAGCCTCTGACTATTTTTTGCTAACCTCTAAAGGTATTGGAATAAGAACAGAATTGAAAAGGAACCATTATAAAACCATCTCCCTTTCTCTGGCCTCACTCGTTCAACGGGTAATTGTCATTGTCTTCTTTTTTTAATGATTTATTTTTGAGAGAGAGAGATAGCATGAGCAGGGGAGGGTCAGAGAGAGAGGGAGACACAGAATCTGAAGCAGGCTCCAGGCTCTGAGCTAGCTGTCAGCACAGAGCCCGATGCGGGGCTTGAACCCACGAACCGTTAGATCATGACCTGAGCTGAAGTGAGATGCTTAACCGACTAAGCCACCCAGGTGCCCCTGTCATTGTCTTTTATCAGGGAGAAGAATTGTGGCTGATCAATCATCTCTAATTTTCTCTAGGTTGCTAAGTTAAGAAGAAGATGGATCTCTCTAGTGTAAAACGTCCTTACCCATTCTCTCCTCAGTGAACTCCCAGCTGCTGCTCTCTGTTGCAGTGACAGCTGCTCTTGGCAGAAGCCCCTTTTGGCTCAACGCTGCATGTCCTGAGGTTTCTCAGTAGTGGAACAGTTCAGGGTTATGTTTTCAGTGCTTCCTCTTGAGGGCCAATTCATGGCCTCTGGGCCTCTGGGCCCTCCCCAAACCAGCTACAGTTCGGGGCCTTGGATTGGGAAATAGCAGTAGAAAGGTACAGGCAGAGCATCTGTCCTTGGTTCTATTTCCGTGCCTATCTCTCCTCTCCCTTTCATTGTCGTCTTGCCTCAGCTAGCTGCCTGGGCAGAAGGGATTTGAAACCCAGAATCTCTCTGAGTTCTAAATGACTGCCAAGAACCTAATATGCCTTTGCTAGTAGAAAGGCATTTCCTATTTAAAAACAGACACTCTCTAACGATGGGATACAAGAATGTGAAAGATGAATAGCATGCCATACTTTGGCAAAAACTGCTTTTCCTTATTGCTCAGAACAGCAGCTGAGGATACCTTCTGTATTTGCTATATATGAAAGACCTTGCATGGAATCATTCATTCAATGACTCATTTGTTTTTCCATTCAATATATATTTTTGAACACCTATTATATTTCAGGTACAGGGGATATAATAGTAAACAAGATAGAAACAGTTCTAGTTGTCATGTATGATATTGTTGATAGGGGACCCTGGGTCCCCATAAAATAAAAGGCTTCAGGGATATGTGGATCCAGGGACCTCTGAGCAACTCCATCTCTAAGCTGTGTTGGTAGTCCCTGTCTCACTCCCATACAGTATCCCTCTGTACTTTGTTGCACAGACTTTAGCATGATCCAGACATTTTACTGAGGAACCTGGCTTTGGTCTTAAACAAATCAACATTTAAAGCACTTGCAAGCTCCCAATATAGTAGATAAGACAATTAAATAGTAGCTATTGTTACCGGTAGCCTTATGCTCTTTAGGAACCCATGGGGGGAAAATCGGTCCAGTTGACAATTTTAGATTGCTTATATTCCTAGAAAAGCATGCTCAGGTCTCAATAACTCTCTCATGTGTCTGGTGATCTCTGCAAATCCCTTCTTTCCCTTCCTCAGGTAGTAGCTACCAATTGCTTCTGGACAGAAGCAAGAATTCAACAAACTTGAGTTGGTCAAATGTCACAGTGGAGCTCAGCCACGGCTGGGATGTTTAATGAGTCGTGTAGGAAAGAATGGTGAAGATGTGTGGTGGGAGCATTGAGGACCGAACCTAGGGACTCTCCCAGCCTTGGCAAGCATGGCCAGGCACTATTCCTCAGCATTCCCATAAGGAAAAGGATAAAGGTTCAGAGGCTGGGAAATGGTAATGATGGAGGATGAAACTGGTTGCTTTGCTACTATTTCAACATCTTCATATTCCCTTCCTGTGTTATACCTGTCAGTGTATCCAAGGAGAGGGAGGCCTCTGGATGAATGATTCATGAGGACTACAACCTCAATGTGAAGATGCTATGCAATTACCACCAGGGATCAGAATCACTGATCAGTTTAAGTACTCAGTGAGGCTGCCTCTGTGTCTAGAACTGCAGGCGGTATTGTGGAAAGATGCAAGAGAAATTTATGATGCTGACTCTACCCTTAAAGAATTCATAACCTCCATGTGGAGACCAGACAAACACAAAAAACATTTTCAGAACACTTCAGCTTTAAGCTGTCTGTCACTGACTAGAATGGCACTTTGAGGCTCCAGCCTGGTCTTCACAGTCACCTGCAGGGAGGCACTGTGGGCCAGTAGAGGCTCACATGTCTGTGGTCCAGCACGCTGAGATTCCAATTCTCCCCGCTGAACTGCATGATCTTGAGCCATTTACTAAGTCTCAAAGCCTTCATGTATAAAATGAAGAAAATGCTTTCTTTAGGATTTGTGTGATCCTTCAGTGAGTTAAAATACATCCATTACCTGCAAAATAGTAGATGTGCAAAAAAACATAGGTGTTCTCCCAATGTCCACATGTCTGTTCCACAAGATTCTCAGAGACAAAGTGTTTAAAACCAGACGTGGCATCTTTTCCACCCCACCACACATGGTAAGGCTTGCTTGTCTATTTGACATCCAGTTTCTTCCCCATTTCTGTTTATGGCAACATGCCTTTTCTGGTCATCAAGGCTTGAAACTGTCACATCATCTTTGACGCAAACTCCCTCACCTCCACATCCATCCTGTTTCAAAATTCTGCCTATTGTTTCACTTTACTTCCAATGTTTAAGGAGAGGTGGGCATGGGGATGGGTGAAATAGATAAAGAGTATTCAGAGGTACAAACTTCTAATCCAGATGCTCTTAACAGGGGTCATGAAGAGACTTTAGGAATTCTGTGAACCTTCTAATATATTGGGGGAAAGATCATAATTTTCATAAATTCTTAAATGTATCTTGACATAAATAGGTTATATAGCACAGTCATCCCTTTACTTCTGTTTCTTCTGCTACCATGTAATCACAGGCTTTTAAATTTTTCTACCCAAATACAACAGCCTCCTAACTCATCATCTTCCAATTTGTTTTTATTCATTCTGTACCACTGTCACAGTGATCTGAAAACCTAGTTCCAATCCTGCCATTTCCCCAATCAACAATGTTCAACACTTCCAAACGTCTTTCAAGTAAACCAAAGATTCTTAACTCCGCTCTCTAGACTGACTTTGGAATTTCTATATTCTGCCACTCCCTCCATGTACTCTATGCTCCAGTAAAATCAACCACTCACTATTCTTTAAATACAGTATCAAAAAAATTAGTGGAGTCTTTTATAATGTACAATATTATGTAAAAATAGAAAAACAAATCATCAGTGGACAAAAATGTAAATTTCTAAGAGATCACAAAGTTTCACTCCAAGATGTCCCTCCCACCTGCACACAGCTTTGTACTCTAGACATCTCCAAGCATCATTCATAATAACTTGGGTCAGTGGATGCCTGAGATAGGTTAGCCCTAGACTAACCATGGTGAAAAATATATATATATCAACTTTTTTGCTATTTTGACATAAAAACCTCAAAGAATTTCTTTTTATAAAATCCAAGCTTATTAACCAAAGCTCCCCCACTTGCAGCAATTCACTACATCCTTTGGCAGACGTGATGGCCTATGTTGGGGGGCACACTCCCCCTTCTCTGGGATGCCCTTACCTACCTCAACACGCAGGAGTGGACTAGTCACCAGCAGCCATATTTGCACAATGCTGTCCCCTTCTTCCTGATTTTCTCCAGCTGGATAATAAGTGATGCCCAATACAACCTGAGTCAATCAAACTTCCTCCCCAGACATTTGAAGTGGAACAGAGAGACTGAGTCAGTCATGACGTGCAGATGGAACTCTCAGATGTAAATGGCAGGAACTGTTATGGGACTGCAAGAAGCTATTCTGCAGTCAGAAAGAAGACCAACGTCGATGATCTGAAAAAAGCAAGAATACAAGAAAATGAAAATGCCCTAATGCTTTGTCAGTTCCTAGTTTCAGACCTTCAAGGAATCTGGCTCCCTTCCTTTCCTGGATTCTCTGAGAGATACTTCTCCACCTCTTCTTCCCACTTTATTATGGTTAAACTAACTTGAGTCGGTGCCTCATACTGGCAACCAAGACTCCTAACTAATCCAATAAGCTGATTCTAGGCTGATACTCTAGGTTTCCACCTCAGTCACTCAGTACACATCAACTGCACATCTACTACATGCCAGATATTCTGTGAGCCACCCTGCAGGGGCTTTTAAAGAAGAACAAAGAGAAAATCATAATTTAATAAAAGAAATCCTCCTTCAGACATATGTGCAAAATAGACATGGCAAATAAATGAAGACCGAGGGGAGGCCAGCATAAATATTTTGAAAGTAAAGGGTGTCTAAACTAAGCCTTGAGCCAAGGTTTTATCAAGCGAAGGAAAAGGAAGGGTGCCAATAAGTGCCAAGGTGTGGAGGCAAGCAGAGTTTGATCTGTTCTGAGAAATGCAAGTCACTTCTTACATTTGGGTCTAGTGTATATACATTCAATTTCTCCAGGCAGAGAAGGATGGCAAGATGGTAAGACCTGGGCCAGATGTAGAGAGTACTGTCTGCCGTAGATGGATTCTCTCTTTAGGTGGTGGAAGAATTACTGAACTATTTAGGCAACAGATGCAAGTCTTTACTTACAATAGTTCAGACACACCAATTTTGGATGGCATGTCCCAGTGTTATCAGATGGAATCAATGTAAAATAGCTCTTGTTATTAAATACCTTACAATTTGGGTGCAGCTGTGCTTGTGCCTCTCTGAGTAATCACTTTTGATACATAGGGAGAATTTCTGTTCCCCTGTCTTTTACCAGTTGTTTAGTTTATGATTCTCTCTTCAATGTGTTCTCTTTCTCTCTCTGTTTCTCATCATACACACCCATATCTTTTCATTCATTTTCATAATTCTGTGTTTTAATATCTTTCATGATTTATCTCTTAACATAAATCATTTTCTAATTTTTACAGTAATTATTACAATTAAATTTTAATAGTCACCACATAGCAATTAATCTCATTGCAATTAAAAATGACATAAAGCCGAGAGGGATATAAAACATTTTGGATGTCAACTCAGGACACAAATGGTTCTCTACAAACTAGAGAATTGTCGAACACTAAGAAAATCCACATAATAGAGATAAAATGTAAGGTCCACAGTGGGTCCTAAAAAGCCAAGTACCCAATAATATAATATGGGAGATACCCCAGGCAGGAGAGCTTTTAGTTACATATGTAAGTCTCCAGCATGCTGTGGTCTTTCCCCAAAGCAAATATATCTCAGGGCTCATTAGTGGACATACACCTAGGGTGTTTTTTTAATGTTTATTTATTTTTGAGAGAGAGACAGAGCACAAGTAGGGGAGGGGAGAGAGAGGGAGTCATAGAATCCAAAGCAGGCTCCAGGCTCTGAGTTGTTAGCACAGAGCCCAGTGTGGGGCTTGAACTCACCAACCATAATATAGCCTGAGCTGCAGTTGGATACTTAACCAACTGAGCCACTTGGGTACCCCTATACCTATCTTAAAAGCAGGAGCTAATCGTCCCACTGTTCTTGATACTGGTTCCAATGACATGAAGAATGTTGAACTCATTTAGGCTCATCACACTGTAAGAAAGGCATAGAGAAGTCTTTACATGTTTGGAGAACTATGACTGGGACCATGAGGAGACTCAAAAGAACTGGGGATATATGATATTTAGTTTGGAGAAAAGAAGATTTAGCTATTTAAAAATAAGCAGAGAGCTGGCATGCAGAAGAAGAGCACAGGTGAGACCTGTTTTTAAGCCCCAAAGGGAAGATGTAAGACCAACAGGATTGGGTGAGACATATGTAGAAAGATTTTGGTTTAGAATAAGTAAGTTTTTTCTTAGGGATAACTCTGTCTGCTGACAGAATGAGCTTCTCAAGTAGGGTAGTGATTTCTCTGTCCCTAGAAGTATTCAAGCTCAGGACACATAACTACTTATGAAGTTGACTGATATACAAGGAATTTGAGTTTTATCACTATTTTTGGCTTAGGTTCCTCAAGTTTCTTTAGAGATAGATACTATTTTCAGTGACAAGAATAACCTCTTACACCATCTTCACTCTTAAAAACCTTTCCTATCCTTTGAGACAGATAAAATCCTTCAAATAAGCTTTTTCTCTACATAATATAGAATCACCCTTTGTGTAATATACATTCATATCATACTTATTGCCCTTCTCTTTTAATATTTTTCACATTGTTTCATGCAGTGGTTATGAATATGTTTTATCACCTCTCATAGACTACACATTCCCTAAGGGCAGAGAACTGTCTTATTCATTTGGGTATCCCCTAAGGTGCTTTACACAAATTATATACTCAATAAGTGCTTGCTGAATGAATGAATGAATGAATGAATGAATGTTGTTGATTAAAGACAAATGAAGGTAAACACCCAGAGGACTTTTATTAGTGTTAATTCTCCTTTAAATTTTTATGAAATGATTTCAAACTTGCAGTACAATCCAAAGAGCATCCATATTCTCCCTACCCAGATTTCTCACTATTAACATTTCACTGTATTTGCTCCATCTCTCTACTGCCCGCCTTCCTACTCTCTCCATCTCTCTGTATGTATGTCAAAAATGTGCATACATTTAGATCATATACATATATTTTCATATAAACACGTGTGTATTTACACACACACTTACATAGACATTTACATATATACACAGTATATATTATACTGCCATTATCATTAGTCTTTTAAGAACAAGCTGAAAGCAGTATTCCCCATCATGTCTAAACACTCCAATGTACCAAATCATGACATTCGCCTGTGCAACCACTGTACAAGCCTTTCAGTCAGAAAATAAAATGGTATCATACTTCTGTCCAAAACACAGAACCTATTCAATTTTGCAGACTGTTCTAATGATGACTCTTTTTTCTTCTGGTCCAGGACGGCATCCAGGAACCCCTTGCATTTAGTTATCATGTCTCTTTAGTTTCCTCTAATCTGTGTACAGTTCTTCCTTCTTTCCCTAACCTTCATGCTGTCAGCAGACAGTGGAGGAACTGTGGTTGAGCTGTTTAATAAGATAGCTACTAGCCACATGTGGTTATTTAAATTAAAATTACTTTATATTAAAATAATTAATAATACCATTTTCAGTCATGCTAGCCACATTTCAGATGTTCAATAACCATATGTGGCTCATGGCTACCAAACCGACAACATGACATCAGGACATTTCTGTCATTGTGGAAAGTTTGATGGGATACCAGTGGTCTTCAGAATGACCTTCAACCTGGGACTCCCTGATGTTTCCTCATGACCAGCCTCAGGTTATTCTTTCTTTGCAAGAATACCACCGAAATGATGCTGTGCTCTTCTTAGTGCATCACATAAGGGAATATTCTCTTTAATATCTCTATTTAACTTGACTTTTTATTCCATACTATCATCAGTGACACTTACTGAGTTCTGCTCTTTATATGGCAATATGACATTACAATAAAACACATAATCAGGTCCTTGATATCAAGGAACCTGTCAGCCAGGAAGCTGGATATAGTATGGTTGCTAAGAGTCCAAGCTTCAGCCACAGAGAGATCAATATTTGAGTTCTAGCACTGCCATTTTATAGAATAATCTCCCTGTTCAATCAACATGCATGTATCAATTGTATACTCATGTGCAGGCCATTGCAGGAAGTAAGTTTATTGAAGGCAGAGACCAAGACCTTCTTGGTATCCTTTAGAGCACCTAAGTTAGATAGTTCTCCTGATAGCAGCAGATTGATGGAATGGAAGAACCCATAAATGCTGTGATGATTCAAAGACTTTATAAAGTTTAGTTACAAAGCTTAGGAATGCTGTCTTATGTCAAACACTTCTGGTAATTTTTAAATGAAAGTTGTGTATTAAAGAAAGGGATTATATTGAACTCATCCATCTTGATTGCAGACCTACTTATAACTGACTAAGCCCACCCAGAAGCCACTCATATCTCAGCATGCAGTGAACTTGGCAAAAAGAACTAGAGGATTAAATATTTATGCCCTTCCAAAGTCCAGGAAAAAGGGAAGGGAAGGGAAGGATATTATATAGTTACATAAATTGGATTTCTTCATAAGACATAAATCATATTATTAATCTGCCATTAGTACCTACATGCTTTAGGCTACATCTCCATTTTCAGGCTGTTGTTAACAACAGCCATCTTTTTGCATCTGGAATTATATAGAATCTAGATAGGAGTGTGCCTGAGAAGCTTGAATTGCATAGTCAGAATAGCGCTGTGAACTTGTCCAAGGTACTCACCTCTCTGCACCTCAGTTTCTCCATGTGTGAAATTGAGATAGCATTAGCTTCTACACCATAGGGTTGTTTCAAGGATTAAATGAGAAAGTGAATGTAACAACATTTCTTAGCATGGATCCAGGTGCATGGTAATGGGTTAATACATGCTTACTGTTGTATTTTATATTTTTTTTGTCACCATCCTACCTCCCTCATACTGACATAAAATCATAGAACTTCACAACTGAAAATGTTATCACAAGTCAGCTAGTGACCCACTCATTTGTCAGAAGAATAAACTGAAAGTTGGTTTGTTGTTACATGTGTTAGTTGAATCTGCTGCTCCAGGGCAAAGCCAAGAATAGAACCACTTTCTACTATATCATACTGACTGTGAACAAGA